GGAGCGGCTGTGCGCCTATTTGTGCACTAAAACTTAGAATAGACAAACACCTTCAGAGGAGGAAAATACGCCAATGGCTCCCAGGCTGTAAACCTAAATCAGGGTGTTTTTTCACCCAGTTTACCACAGGGGCTATTCACTTCTTTTGCCTCTGGAGATAACAGCCTGTCTGGCGGATCTAAATATCGCCATAAAGCCCTTCCCCTCCTTTTGTCTGAGATACTATTGCGCAGCGGAAGCATCCGGTCTCACTGCCCACGGAGGTCGCTGTTGCCCCATTCACCTTCCCCTTCCCCTCCACTGCAGTGGTCGTAACCGAGGCCTTGTCTGGCGTGTCTGCGTCACTACTACTCACGGAAAACACTCACGGCTTTACCCTTAATCCCAAATCCACGACGCATACTGCAGTTCAGCTTTGATCACATTTTAAATCCAGCACACATGGCCTCATAGGCTTATTTTAACGACGAAACCCAAGTAAAGAAGTCTAAGGAAAACATTACAGGAGACAGGTTAAGAACATACACAACAGCCAGTCACCACTCCCCGGTTTATAAACTAGTGGGGTTTAGAACATGATTCCAAAATACTTCTCCACAATTTTCATCAAACCCGATCATCTGTATGTCCCTGAATTGCTTTCCTTTTGGTTTCGAAGAGTGGAACTGGGGCAATTAAGACAGTTTCATGTTGCAGAGTTAGAAATGGACCCCAACAACATGAAACTACCTAAACCACTCGACAGTCGATCCGGGCCTCAAGTGAAACACAATCAGCCAATTCATAATGCACCGTGTTCGTCGGTCCCGTCATCAAGTGTCCAAAACATCGTCTGCATTAAGAAAGTACATCTGTTTGTAAACACTATCGTAAAGCCGGTGCAACAAGGCTAAAAATGAACACATTCGCAATGATAAATGGACTTACCCGATCCTCGAAAGGTTAATCCCAGTATTCCCAAATTAAAGCCGCAGGTTATGTTTTATCCATTGTATGAGTAGGCTACAGTTAAGATTTCTAGCTGAGAGCCAGGCCTCCTCTCCGTCTGAAAGGCTCTCCCACGACTGAAGCAGCTCTTAGAGGAGAGGGAGAAACCTCATATACCAGCCAGTCATAAAACTCTACAATAGCCGGCTGAGCATGCAGCTAGACGGCTTATAGCCTAATATCTTAATTATTTCCGATGGCCATTACATTAGCATCTACATTTGTCAGCTGGTTCACAGTGTGTCCCCATTGATGGAGGCCAAGTTATTTGGGGTTTTGCATTTCAAACAGGATGTTTTTTCTGATTCTGTAGACTTTGCCTTTAGAGATATAAATACAAAAATACAGGCAGCTACTCTTCTATGCGAGCTGATAATTTATTAAGCACTACACAAAAAACACAATATGTACACAGAAATATACAATAGAAACATTCCTATTTCACTTTGCACACCTTTTTCGTGTAAACGTCCTCAACGTGATTAAAGATCCGACTCATACATTTAGCTCGTACATAGAATAGGCCTATACCATGGTGGACTACATCTAATGATCACAGGTGAATTCTTCTTCTTCCCTTGTGTTACATGGGTGTTATATTCCAGAGTGATTGAATAACTACAAAATAAATGTATAGGAAAATGTAATATCATGCAATTCAAATTAAAATAAAAACAAATTAATATTTGTTTGAATACATTTACGAGTATTTGCCAGCAGTTTGGGAAAAAGTGGAACATTTAAGCCACCTTCAAGTGCACAATGTTTTTAAATTGCGTTAATTTAACTCCACTGACGACACTATCCAACCATACGACAGAAGGGACAGAAACAGGTAGATGATACAAAAACACAATATCAGAAAGCAATCAAATAAAACTCTACATTCAATTTTTCCCCAAATTTCTTATTCTCAATATAACGCACAGAGGACGATGCATCGACTTTAAGTGTGTCTGGAAATAAAAGAAAGCAGTACCTCACAGTGAAATTAGTCTTAGGTGGACAGAGTGGTGAGGAAGGGTGTGGGGGTGCTGGAGGAGGGAGGGTATCATTGATTTCACCAAACATCTTCTATTTAAATTTGATCACCTTGTTCATCATGAAAATCCGTAGTTGGATGTGAGCTCCCGGATCCTGTTTTCCCGCGTCATTTTCTTCAGTTTCATCCTGCGGTTCTGGAACCAGATTTTAACCTGTCTGTCCGTCAGGTGGACGCCTTTACTGATCTCTAGGCGGCGCTCTCGGGTCAGGTACATGTTGAAGAGGAACTCCTTCTCCAGCTCCAGAGTCTGATGCTTGGTGTATGGACAGCGTTTCTTCCTGCCACTTTTTGCTGTCAGCCAGTTGGCCGTGCTATGAATTTTTGCGTCTCCTAAAGAAAATGGCAGATACATGGTTTTACGCACTGCAACATGGGGGACTGTGTGTGTGTGTGTGTGTGTGTGTGTGTGTGTGTGTGTGTGTGTGTGTGTGTGTGTGTGTGTGTGTGTGTGTGTGTGTGTGTGTGTGTGTGTGAAACGATATAGAGCCTGCGTGGGTGACACCTGCATATAATAGGTAATATGGAAATCGTTTTATAAATTGCTTGGCATACCAATAAAGCTATTGTGTGAATCTGTGTTTGTGTTTATGGTTGTGTCACACACACACACACACACACACACACACACACACACACACACACACACACACACACACACACACACACACACACACACACACACACACACACACAATAGCGTAACATTTGCGTCCTTTATGTGTGTGTCTGTATGAGTGTATAAGTGTAGTTTACGCGTAAAGTATGGTTGCTCTGTTAGATTCATCATATTGCACATGTTTGAAAGTAGTATTTTACACAAATCGTTCATTTAAAAAGAGTGTTTTGTGACATAGAAAGTGAAATATTAAAAAGGCATTATGGCACAGACAATATCAAATGGCCTGTACATGAATATAACGACTGACTAGCCTGCATTTTACGCAGTACTCAAACGAAATACTGGTTCAGTTTAGGTAAATTGTAATTGATATACATGTAAAACCTATATGTTATGCATGTATGTATTGAGACAAATTATCATAAAATCGTTAATACCTCTGTTGGACTTTTTAATCGAAACAAACTAAGCTTAGCCCTTTAACTTGCTTTTTCAATTTTACGCATAATCCTTCTGGGTTTATTCATACACATACGTATATACATCATATTGATACCACTACAACTTAGAGAACAAAGACTTGGTGACTATAAATACATGCAGAGTTACCATGAACGTGAGTTGATGCATCACTGCAAGTCTAACCAGTGAAATAGAACTTCACAGGTGCCTTTAAAAAAAGCCTCTCTCTACCTGCGCTGTATGCAAACAAAACAACAGAACAGGGCCACACCTATGATGAACTGTGATTACCTTTGGTGGCCTCTTTGTCATGCTCTTCTGTCTCGTCGGCTGAGGAGGCTTCTGCATCTGAGGACTCGCGTGCCTCGTCGCTTCCCGGTGCCGCGTGAGGCTGCAGGTCTGCTTTTCCCGAGGACACGGGCTCCTCGGTGTTCCTCCCCTCCTGCGCCGTGGCTGGAGCAGAAGTCGAGGTTGGTGGCGTGTTGAAGCGAGCGGGAGCAATGGGGTGTAGGCCAAAATGAGAATGGGAAGGGTTCGGCTGGGGGCCGTTAGTGTTGTAAAGTTTATGAGAATGTGCGTGCGTCTGAGACAAGCGGAAGTAGCCCGGCACAGGCACTGAGCCCCCGCCATCGGTAACTGTACAAGAACTCGAACCTAGGCCAGCTGTTGTTAACCTCGAATAAGTGAGATCTTCCGCGGTGGAGGCTTTAGGACACTTTGGCTGCTCATACAGGCAGTAGGTGCTCTCCTCCTTAATATTCTGCGGGAATGAGCAGGGCGCGACCTGGGGACCCACCGGGTGCTCTTGGTCCATTCGACATGACCTCTGCGCGTCCATCCACATCTCCATGCTGGGCATGTATGGGCCAGAGGCGGAAACCATGTTTGGAGGACCCACTTCGCTTCGCTTACCCATACCTGGGAAGTATCCATAGTTGTGAAGTCCGTAAGGCATTTCGGTAGCAGTGCTGTGAGGCACGCACACCGCGCTCCCATAGTGACCTCCGGCGCTTTCATTGCGGCCACTGATCAGAGAATCCACTAAAAACGCATTTCCTGACGGGCTGTCCGAACATGACATTATTGTGGTGTATTTTGGCGAAGGAAGAAGATAGCCCTTTCTGGCTGACATTTCTTGTGCAAAACATGCTGGATATGATTAGAGGCACCCCCCTTTCTGCCGTGCAGAATGTAAAACCAATGGAAATGCTGGAAGATGGGCAGTCCCTCCCACTCAGAGGCTACGTAGCTGCCGGAGTGATATCTATCTTGGAGCTGAGGCAGAGAAAGGAGGCAGCAGAGCAATCAGTGTTTTCCCTCACCTCGCCTTAATGCACCACCATTACCGGGGGCGAGGTCCAACATGATGCAAAGTTTAACAACTGCATAGCTGTAAAGGGGGGGAAAAACATGCATTTCTTTAATACATTCTTTAAACAAGTTTTGAAATCCCATCAAAAGATCACTGACTGATGTCTGAAGCTGATTGCTCCTGTCCTATATTCAAATCAAAATGTACCACACAGCTGAAATAGGTGCAACGCAGTATCAGCGTTTCAGATTTAATTTACCTCAAGTAGGAGTCGTGGAACACAACATTATAATAATATTACCATCTCCTTTTGTTAAAGACGCTCTAAAAAAATACTTCCTTACATGAGGTAGATATGGCCCTAAGATTGCAAATCAAGTATGGCACTGCAGAAGCCACAAACGACAACAAAGCAATGGGACTTAAAGGTAATAAAATGTTTTAACTGTAGGTAGAATTCGCCTTAAGCTAAATGACTTGGCAAAAAGCGGTTTTATATGGTGCATCCTCTGGCCTTAGGACAGCCTGCTTTTCCGCACTAAAAGCAAAGGTGTTAATGTAGCCTGAAGAAAAGAAGAGTAATATCAGACATTCTTTGTTCTTCTCTTTAGATTTTCGTTTATGTTTTGTTACACACAAGAGGACTCGGAATTATTCAATATCAAATGTACATCCTTGAACTGCCTTGTTGTAATCCATCAAAAAAAAATCCCCTTTACATCAAACATAACATTTTTTGATTTAAAATGCTGGACTTATATTTATTTATGTGTAATTCATTAAGATGAGGAACGCTATGCCCGTGCGTAAACAACGTCATCAAGAACTAAAATAATTTGACGAAAAAAAGGTTTACAAAACAGATAGTTTCCTAAATGTTAAAGGAGTTTCTTCACATTGTAAACATCTATTTATTAAAATATCATTTAAAACCTATACACAGTAACGTTTTTTATTAGAGCTCGTCACTGGTTTTCTCTCTGGTTGAATATTCGTTATTTAATGTCTCAAAATAAAACAAAGAGGTATTTTTTTATAAAACTATTTGTTAACAAAATTTGCATTAATAATGGTTGTATTTATGTGTGTTTTCAGTCATTTCGGATATGAAAATGAGTTTATCTGCACCCAAAGTCATTACGCATGGGACAGAAAAGGTAAAACAATCACCTTCGTTCAAAGGCTGTCTGCACAAAGATGATTATAAGAAATGCAAATAAATACTGCGGCAGCCTACAACATGTTCAATTAAAAACAATCTAAAATGAGCACAGTATAAGCATTTGACTTGTTAAACTCTCAACGTATTGATCACGGTGTTGTACGGGGAGCAGGCACAATGTGCGAAAGGAAAGCAGACATACAAGTCATCCTGTCGGTCCAATTTGGGGCAATAAGAGCCACAATAAAACTCTCCTTCCATCTCCTAGTGTCCTTGGCCATGTGCACTCTATTCTCTCTCCAGGTTGAAGTTAATCTCGGCCAGCTTTGCCATTACCAGGCCCAGGTGGCCGCTAACCCCCTGGGTTCGTATCCAGCCTGTTGTACTGAAATGAGAAAGATTGAGGGGAAATTCATAAATTGAGCCCATTTAGGTTTTCAAACGCTCCGTCAATGACAGCTCACTGATGTACACTGGCTTAGGTTTTTAGCGCGTCGATGGTGGACATTTGTCAATCGCTCCTGCTCAAATCTCACATACTTCAAATTATTTAAATTACTATAACATGATTGAAGGTTATTTATGTGTATACGAAACATAATACAATGCTTTATTTTAAAGCAGAGTGATATGCTGTAGAAATATATAATGTAATTAGTATGTTCAGTGGGGAGCTTTAGCAAGAAAGGCCGTGCGCCAAACGTTTGTGCCTGTATAGCAAAGTCCCCCAGAAACATTTTAAAAAACCAATACAATGTTAACCTACTACAAACTAACTAACATAACTAGGTTTAAAGCAGCATGTTTTCTCGTCCCTGTAGTGTCCTGTTGCTTGTAGGACATATGAGCCACTAAGGAAACTAAATACATCCATTAATTATGTGTGCCCATGTTACATTATGTTGGCCTGCATTCACTTCATGGTGTTGTACTGGTAGGGGGGCCTATCGATATCTTCGTGTTACAGTTATTAATTGTAGCTATTAAATCTTCATTTTCACAGCTGCCCGGCTATTATATCCTCAACACAGTTTACTCTGACCACTGGCTTTGATCCGGCCCATATAATAGTGGCCGGAGAGGCCGTTTGAGTCGTATCATGTTCGTCCCGAGTGCAGTTATGAACAATAATGCGGCGTTTTATTACATCCAGCGGAAGCATTTATTTTTCACGAGAGACAAAGGAGAACGAGACTAGGTCCGCACGCATCAAAGTTTAGAATAGCCACTCGCACTGACACCGAATAGCCTCAGCTCTGTATCAATGACAGGAAGGAAAAGGAGACGCGATTGCTGCCTTATCATAATCAAATCGTTTCTGTTAAAAGCACTTTTCATATAGCCTACTTGGCACGTAGAGGGAATACTGTGATTTGGGAGGACGCTAAATGTTGTTAGCGGAACCTTTGAAGAGGAAGGAGCAATACAAGAGAGATGCTCTGATTTAAGATGAGCTGCATTAGCTTGAGAAGAATTTCAACAATTTATTCATTTGTTTTGTAGCCAGCACCAGATGCTTACTGCTGTGCCGTTAACGTACCAACTGTATCACTTTTGTATTATTATTATTAATAATTAAGGCAGTCCTCTCTCCAAATCCAAAACATTTGTGGTTAGACTGTTAGTTGCAGACCTCTCCAGGTACATGCCGGCCATGTTATACTTCAACCATTAAAAAGCTCAAGCTCAGCTAAATGAATAGCACATGCAGCAGAAGGCATGGCACATATGTGTTGCCTTATTAGGGCCCCCAGGAAGACTTTCTCCACGGCACGGCCCAGTGAGCACCAGAAATGTGGAAACTAAATACAAACGGCTCCTAACTTAAACTAACTTCTTATGCAAGAATATTTTTCTAAGGGATGAACATATAAAAAGGTTTCCCTAACGGAGCAAACTGTTTAAGCTGTTTAAGGGTGACAAATACGTTTACCTGCTTGCATTCGAGGTGAGTTTGGAGACGAAAAGATCCACGGCCATGACATTGGTCCCAATAGCGCCGCCCGGTGGTGGAGGTCTGTCTAATCCCAAGAGCAGCACCTAACTGACTCGAGGTGGATAAAGCACACGAGGGGGAAAAGCCTACCAACTGAAGTCGATGTAGCGAGCAAGCAGAAGCTTTTCCTATCCGTCCTCTCACTGTCGTTGCTCTCGCCTCCTTGGTTACACAGTTAATAACCTTGGGTCTCAGACGGTTTATTGCACTGCACTCCAATTGTACAAATGCCCCAGACTCTCAGACGGGTTTTATGGCAGCGTTGCTGCGGCAACGGGGAGGATGTCCCGTAATTAGGGACGGAATTCCAGCGCGCAGTAAAGGATGCGCGAGGCAAGGCCGGACTATGGCAGAGAGAGGCAACCATAAACTTCAGCCTCTCTCCCCGCGTTTATGGCCCTTTTGACTGTCATATATGAACGCCAATGCGCTGCGGCTAGCGCCCATAAACACAGTGATAACAACAGCAAATATAGCGACCCTCGCCAAAGGAGACTGCTGTTGGAACAGTGTTTCCAAAGCCAATCAGCGAAATGACAGTTTGCACACACACACACAAACACATACACACACTACTACAGAGAGAGCAAGAGTGTGGAGCTAATAAAACAACACGATATAAGTAGCTAAATACTGAATGTTTGGCAACATAAATGTTCTTGTGATAAATAATAATGGATATATAAGATATCAACATTGCTAGCAAAGATGTATTTTAGGTATGCAAACGTTGTAAATATCTTATACATTTCATAAAGGTCCGAGACATGTTTCAAAATAGTTGAAAAACAACAGCACAACAATGTGAAAACACATGAAAGTCCTTGCTTTTTAAACTATTTACTTTTATTTGATCGATACTATAATTAACTAGTTAGTAACTAGTCTATCATTAAATATTTACAGTAATTTAATAGCATTTTTCAATACTTAACTTAATTAATAAATATGTTACTTACTTACTAAAATAATTTACATTGTGTGTGTTCCTGGTTGAACG